CTACAGGGAAACCCTGTCTCAAAAAGACCAAAAAAAAAAAAAAAATTAAAATAAAAAAATATTTAAGAAGAAAGATGATGGATGATGAAACTGGTGCTCAAAACCATCAAGAAATTTGCGAAGCTGAGGATGTAGCTCATGGCAGGGCATTGCCTAGCATGTATCTAGGCCCTGAGTTTGATCCCCAGCACCAGGAAGGAAGGGAGGAAGGGAGTAGGGTGAGGCAAATATCCAAGGTCACATAGCAAATAAGCAATATAATCAGGATTGAGTGCCAAGCCAGTCAGTACAATACCGTTTGGGTACATTTTTGTCTCACACAGAGTACATGCTTATTAAGGTCAGGAGCTAGGACTTCATTCCTGAATCTTCCACAGCCCCTAAAAGAACTTTGTACATTGGGGCTGAGGTAAAGTGTGCTGGATAGATGGAATGTTTCTGTTAGCAGACTAAAACCAGAGACTTGATTACCTGAGCATGTTAATCATTCAGGTCTTAAAAGGCTTACATGAGGGGCTGGAGACATGGCTCAGCTGTTAAGAACACTGACTGTTCTTTCAGAAGACCCAGGTTCAAATCCCAGCACCCACATGGCAGCTAACAACTGTCCATAACTCCAGTTCCAGGGGATCCAACAGCCTCTTCTGTCCTCCACGGGCATTGCCCGACACGGGTGCACTTACCTACATGCAAGCATAACACTCATACACATAAAATAAAAATAATATTATTTTTTTAGAAAAAAAAAAGGCTTACAGGAAACACAGTAATTACCTGCACAAGGCTAGACTGGCTGGAAAGAGAGCCACTGAAGGAGAAGACTCCCCAAAGGGGGCGGGGAGGAATGGGGGATGTCAGAACCAACTACTGAGACCAGATGGCTCAGCCTGTAAAGGTGTTTGCTGTCAAGCCTGATGACCTGAGTTAGATACCCAGAACAAAATTGGTAATGGGAGAGAACTGACTCCTACAGTTGGTTACCTCCACACAAGTCACACTAGAGCTGCAGCACACAAGACACACACACTCCCACGAAACAAATAAATCTATGTAAGCTGCACCTGGTGGCACACACCTTTAGTCCCAGCACTCAAGAGTCAGAGGCAGGCAGATCTCTGTGAATCCAAGGTCAGCCTGGTCTACAAAATGAGTTCCAGGCCAGCTGGGGCTACAGGGAGACTCTGTCTCAAAAAGACCTAAATAAATAAATAAATTTATGTAAAAACAGAAAGAAAAAAAGTAGGTAGTAGCTAGGTATGGTGGCACGTGCCTGTATCCTCAGCACTGGGGAGATTGAGGCAGGAAAATTAGAAGTTAGAAGCAGGCCTGTGCTACACAGTAAATGCTTAAACACATACCTACACGCAGAGTGGCCACAGAGGATCATGTCGCCAAGCCCTGCATTGGCACCAGTAGGAAATGAGTAAGAAGAAGCATTCAGACCCTCATTCTGATCATTCAAGCAATATGTGGGCTGTCTAGTGCCAGGCACTGTTCTAGACACTAGGACTAGGGGAACAAACAAAACTAACTCCCACCCTCCTTGAGTTTACACTGACAAGGGAGAGACTGAAAATAAACAAGTAAATATATAATTCATAATGAAATATTAAAATGAAACAGACCGTGCTATAAAAAAATCAGCATAGAGGAAGGGACAGATAAATAGTCAGGTGCCTGGGAAGGCTTCTCTGAGGTTGTAAGATCTGAGCATGTATGAGCAGCCGGCTAGGTGAGATCTAGGGGAAGGCAGGTTCAAACAGAGACAGCAGTTGTCAAAGCTTTGAGGGCTGGAGCTGCTGGCCTCCCTAATTACCTCACTTCAGGAAGTTAACACAGAAAGGGGTGGCTGCAGGTACATGCCAACACAATATTAAACATCTCAATACTGGGGCTGCAGAGATGGCTCAGCAGTTAAAAGAACTGGCTGATCTTACAGAGAACTCAGGTTTGCTTCCCAGCATCCACATGGCAGCTAACAACCATCTGTAAGTACAGTTTCAGGGGATCTGACTCCCTCTTCTGGTCTCTGAGGGCACATGGGTACATTTAAATACATGCAAGCAATACACTCATACACATAAAATAAAAATTAAAAAAAAATTTTAAGCACTTGGGAGGCAGAGGCAGGCAAATCTTTGTGAGTTTGAGGACAACCTGGTCTACATGTAAGTTCCAGGCCAGCTGGGGCTATAGGGAGACCCTGTCTCAGAAAGAAAAAAAAAGGGGGGGGGGGTTCAATACTGATTCTAAGAGAAAAAAATATATACAACATTGAGAGCAAGATACCAAAATTAAGGAATATCTCTGCTCATATCAGCTAAAGAAATACCATCCCTATCTCACCTAATCTTAGGTGGGCATCACTGTCCTCGCCTCAAAGACAAGGAAACTAAGAATCAGTTGAGAATGCCAATCAGTATGCGTGCATTTCCTCTACATGACACAGCTTTCTAGCACAACACTCTCTTCTAAACTATTGTTACTTCTTCCAGGGATTTTTCCCTTCTCTTCTTTTCTGTCTCTGTCTCTCTCTGTCTCTCTGTCTCTCTCTGTCTCTCTGTCTCTCTCTCTGTCTCTCTCTCTCTCTCTCTCTCTCTCTCTCTCTCTCTCTCTGTGTGTGTGTGTGTTTTGCTGGAGATCAAGCCCAGGGCCTTGTGCATATAAAACATGCCAACAAGCACATAACTGTTCAGCTACACCCTCAGTCCCTGCCCCAAAATTAATTTTTAATTAAAATTTATTGGGGCTGGAGAGAAGGCTCAGCAGTTAAGAATATTGGCTGCTCTTGCAGAGAACCGGGGTTTGAATCCCAGCACCCACATGGCGGTTAACAACTGTTCATAACTCAACAACTGTTTCTAACTCCAGTTCCAGGGGCTCTGACACCCTCTTTTGACCTCTACAGGCGCTGCATGACATGGGTGCACTTACATTCATGCAGGCAATACATGCATACACATAAAATAAAAATGCCACATGGGTGCCGGGATTCAAACCTGGGTCTTCTGAAAGAACAGTGTTCTTAACTACTGAGCCATCTCTCCACCCCACATGGGTATACTTATATATATGCAGGCAAAACACTCATACCAATAAAATAAAAATAAATAAAATGTTTGAAAAATACAAAAGATAATAAGTATTGGTGGGGATATGGGGAGAGGGGACCCAATCACTGCACAGTCAGAAAGATCCACCTGCCTCTGCCTCCCAAGTGCTGGGATTAAAGGCATGCACCACCACGCCCGGCTAAAATTTATTTTTATGCGTTTGAAAATTTATTTATTTTTATGAGCATTTTGCTCATGTACTACATTTGTACAGTATGTGCAGTATCTGCAGGGGCCAGAAAAGGGTGTCAGATCTCCTGGAACAGTAGTTACAGACAACTGTAAGCCACCATGTGGGTGCTGGGAACTGAACCCAGCTCCTCTGCAATAGCAGAAACTGCTGAGCCATCTCTCCAGTCCCCAAACAGAATTCTCAACCTGACAGAGTATCTTAAGAGGCCCACAAATCTCTGGAAAATGGAAAGAAATATATGTATATATTTGCAGGTTTTTGTTTTGTTTTTGTAGTGCTGGAGATCAAACCCAGTTTCAGTCACTATATATGTGTTTATTTAATATTTGTGCAGAGATGATCACTTGCTATCATCAGTTTCTTAAAAAAGGTCTGAGAGAGAGAAAAGGTTAAGAGCTATTCTAGAATATCAGGGCTTCCCTGCAGCCCATTTTTGGTGGCTGGGGCTGTTCCTGGTATAAGATACAAAGGTGTGAAGGAAGTTTAATCATCCTGTTTAGAGAGTATCAGCATAGAGTTCCTGATCTGTCTAGCATGCAACCTCAGATACTGGGGTTGTCTTTTGGTACAGAGAACTGAACTCAGAGCTTCCTGTATATGCACTCTGCCAGTGAGCTAATCCCCAACCTGATGTTCAGTTTGTGTGTGTGTGTGTGTGTGTGTGTGTGTGTGTGTGTGAGAGAGAGAGAGAGAGAGAGAGAGAGAGAGAGAGAGAGAGAGTGAGTTTTGAGACAGGGTCTCACATAGCCCAGGCTGGCCTCCATCTCACTATACGCTGAGCACGGCCCTTCCTCTACCATCCCAATGCCAAAATTACAGGCATGAGCCACCAAGCCTGATTTATATGGTGCTGGGAATTAAACCCAGGGTTTGGTGCATGCTAGGAAATACTCTACCAACTGAGCTACAGTTCTAAATTCCAAAACAAAGACAAGGCATGAACAGTCCTGAAAAAGTTAGACTATGCCAAAGCAAAGAAACATCTACTAGGCTTCTCTTAGCTTGTAGAAAACTGGTATCCACCTAACTCTCCAGACCAAGACCAACTTTGAGGGCTTATATGCTATCTCACTACTCCCAGGACAGGAAGAGAACCACCCCAATTCACCCCCACTTCTTCCCACCATTAGAGTGGTGAGACTGGTAACTTTGGCCTATCCCTTAATCCACTGGATGGAAAATTCCTTTCTGCCAACACCACTATCTGAGCTAGTCTCATAATGCCCCAAACAGTGAGGGATCATAAGCACAGTAGTCTGAAGCATTCGCTCTCATTGGATAGACATGAGTTCAAATTCTCTCATTCTAGGTGTAAATTTGGGTATCACATAACCTTCCTGGGCTGTAAAAGGGCCTATTATCCACCCACCTAGTAGGGTTACCTTGTGAATCAAATGAAATAATGTACGTAAAGTACTTGGTCTAAGTACCAAGCACACAGTAAGAGACCTGTAAGTGGTAGTTACTGTTACTGATTACCGTCGCTTTTGTTGGTCCACTTAGGAAAACCCGGGCATGGGGGCGGGGGTGAGACACCTCAGGGGTCCTCCAACCTGCCCAAGCTAGACATCTAGAATGACCCGCCAGGCGACCTCCCCATCAGAGCAGGACCCTGTGCCAAACGCCAGCACCAGGCCCCTTCCCCAAGGCGCTGCAATTCCGCCTCGCCCGCCGGGTCACGCGCTCCAAGTTACCATTTTCTTGCTCTCGGTGCCACGGTTCGCCTGCCTCGACATGGTGCCAGTTGCCCCACGCCGCCTCACCTCCTCGCAGTCCTGTTCCGCGACCCCGCTAGAAGCGGATTCAACCCAGCCGCGGCCCCTCAGCCTCCGGGACTGACGGCCCCGCCTCACCGCGCCTGCGCGTCTCGGCGCGATTCTCCACGGGACTTGTAGTTTGGCCCACAAAGGTCGGACTACAGCACCCGACAGCCCCACCGGAAGCCCCGCCCATTGCTCAGCGGAACTACGGCTCCTGGAATTCCGCGAGCGCGGCCTGCTTGCCGGGGCATTCTGGTCGCTAGGTGGCGTCCGCACCTTGCGGTAGTCCTGCGTCATCCACACTGTGTCCTCTCCTCCCCCACGCCTGGCTCCGTGATGCTCTGCAAATTCCTCTCTCTCCCAGATTGGTCTTGGAAAGTCCCTCCTTTGAACTAGTTTCTGCTGCAGTTCAGCTCCAGAAGCTCCCAGGATGTCCCGGAAAACTAGCCATGGCTCATATATAAATCTAAATTCACTGTCAAAAGTTTAAATGACCACCTACTATAAGTCAGGCTAGTGGCTTTCTCTTAAAACTGTCATCTGTTCCCAAACCCCAAAAACAGCCAGCCCCTGCCTCCTACCACCTGTGGCCTAGTGATCCAGTCTTTTAAAGTCCAAGTCACTTGTCGCTTTCTTATCCTCCCTTCCCTAGAAGAGTTACACTGCCTAGTTCCCAGAAAGGAAATAGCCCCAGTTGTGGTGGCAGTCAGTGCTGAGTTCTAATCCCAGCCTTGCCATCTGAGGCCAGGTATTGGAGTACTCTCCATTGCTACAAAGATTGATGGGACATGCATTCACAGATACTGAACACAGAAAAGACATCAAGTAAATGTGATTCCCTCCCAGCTACCCTCTCAAAACATAGCTCAATAAAAGAGGAATGCACTGGTTGAACCCTCTTCATCCATCCCCAAAGGAAAATCCAATAATCACTGACCACAGTCCTTTGGGTTTGGCTCCAGAGATACTCCTTAGTGGTCAACCCTAAGGGTACTGTGCTGGGGATTAAGGACCTCTCAAGCCTGCTTGCCTAACTCTGCAGCAGCTGTACTCAAGCCCTGCCCTTCACCATGACAACCAATCTGTCCAGACAATTGAGCCAGCCAGGCTGGGGCTAAGTCTCTCCCTAAGGGTGTAGGACTAATAATTATTATACCCTTCTCCCTGTGACACAGACATTCTGGGGCATCCCTAAAGGCAGAGATCCCTGACCTCCCTCCTGTGTCAAACCCCCTGGGAGGGGACCAAAGGTTGACAGCTCTGGAAAGGAACTTGAGGCTGCGGAAGAGTCAGGAAAGCAGGGGTCTGTAGCCTTGGGAGGCCAACACAGCTAGACAAGAGCCTCCTACATTCCCAGGAGAGAGGACAGCTGAGGTGAAAGCTGCAGTTGGCCAGCCTGTCTGTTGGTCTGGGCTCCTCCCTGCCGGCTGCCTTGGCTGCCCACAGAAACCTGAGTCACAGTCATGGCCAGCCACTGGACCCCACCCAGCCTGCTGTCAGGCAGGGCGGTTCTGGAGAAACTGGAGGTGGAGCCTCTCCCTGCCTGTCTCTGGCCTCTGATTCTCCCTCTCCGCCTGTGATTCCTGTTCTTGGTGCTGCTTTCTTTTTCAGACTTTTCGGACTCATCTTCTCAGAGTCATCAGTTCTGCATTAAGGGTGGGGGTGGTCCATGTATTGATCTATAGAGTCTCATCCTTGCTCATGGTGAAATTTAAAAGCTCCTTGGGGGTTATGGCTCCATAGTAGTGTGCATGCTTTGTATGGGCAAGGCTCTGGGTTTGCTCCCCAGCACCAAAACACAAAACTACATACACAGTAGGTCCCAAGTTCTCAGTACTGTTTCCACCATTCTCAAACCCCAACCCCTCCCCAGCACCTCTCCAGGGAGTAGAACATTCAGGGAACCAGATGCCCCTTCCCTACACTCATCTCCTGCACCTTAGAAAAGAAAGCCAAAAGATTTATAAGAAACTTAAGTTCTCAGCTACATAATGAGCTCAAGACTAGCTTGGCTTACATGAGACCCTGTCAAAAAAAAAAAAAAAAAAAAAAGGAAGGGGGGAATATGCCTTAATCTCAGCCCTGGGAAGGTAGAGGCAGGCAGATCTCTGTGAAATCAAGGCCAGCCTGGTCTACATAGTGAGTTCCAGGTCAGCTGGGGCTACAGAGAGACCCTGCCTCAAAAAGACCAAACAAAAAAATTCCAAACAAAATGAAAGAAGGGAGGGAGGGAGGGAGGGAAGAGAAAAGGAGGTAGCAGGGTAGACTTTCCATCCCTATCAGGGGCTCTAGACTCCCTTCTAGGCACTCAAAGATTTGAACCTATGTAGTCCTGAATTAGAGTTCCTCCAGCCTCCAAACCTCTGTCCTTCCTCCTCCCTGAGAGTTGGAGGGAGAGAGGCAGCTGGACACCACTACCCTGAAGGACATTCCTCAGCCCCAGCCTTAAGCACTGGGCCCTTGAGGCTAAGACTCCTCTGGAGCCAGTTTAGTTGGTTAGAGTCCCTTCTGGGTGCTGTGTGGTGGGGGTGGGGTGGGAGTGAGACTCTGGTGGCTGTTCTTTCCACTGCCCCCTATGAGGCTCCTCCCACTTCCTACTTTGTGGGTGCGTTGGCTACATCCAGGGCCTCTGTGCTGAGATTCATATCTCTGAGTCAAACCTTTCAGTGATTTCCTTCCCTGGTCCATAGGTTCATCCTAGGCTCTGCCCTGCCAATCTAGGAGATTGTTTTGCTCCTGCTTTCCTCCTAGGAGAATTCACAAGCAGACAAAATTTGTGATCCTTATTCAGGGACTTGCCCCAACTCCAGCCTAGCCCTGTGGTGATAGTAACACTTCACTAAGGCCCATTTCCTCACTGAATCAGGGCAGGACATCCTCTTGGGACTTCAGTCCCTGATATTACACATAACCTCCACTTGCACATAACATTCGCGGGGCATATGGAGCCCCCAAGAACAGTTACCTAACCCGAATTTAAAGACACCAGTCTTTGTGAGTTTTTGTTTGGTTTTGGTTTTTTGTTGTTTCTTTGACAGGGTCTCCCTAGCGACAACCTCCCTGGAAGTCACAATGTGGACCAGGGTGGCCTCGATCTCGCAGAAATCCACCTGCCTCTGCCTCTCAAGAGCTGGGATTAAAGGTGTGCGCCACCATTCCCAGCAGGTCTTTTGTGTTTTTTAAGACTTCATTGTCAGTTCTCAGTTGCTGGCCTGGGATCTGTCTGGGATTCTTATCAGTTACAGGGAGCAAAGAGAGGTGCCTACCCCATCTGTCTACTCCAGCTGCATTACTGGGCAGTGACATTGCCCCAGTTCCTCCCAAGGCATCCCCTGTGAGCCTATGTGTCAGAACCTTCCAGCTGGGGCTGGCCAGGAAACCTGCCTCTCCAGTTGCCTAACTCCCAGATACCTTGCTGAGTAAAGAGGCAAGAGCTCCTCAACTTTGGTACCATGAACATTCTATCCCTGATGCTATTTGGTTGTGAGAGGTGAGACTGTGTATTGTAATATGCTAAGCCAGATTCCTGGCTTCCATTTACCTGAAGTTGTGGCAATCAAAATGCCATTAAACTGACAAATATTCCTCAGGGTGTATGTATGGGCACACAACTGCCTTTGGTGTAGAACCAGTGATGTAGTCTAACACCACACATTGAGCTGCCTAGGTTCAGATAACTCCCCAAAGTCAATCATGGATAATTAGACATAACTGAAGATTTCCAGTTGTAATATCATCCCCTTAATCTTCAACAGCTGCCCAGGATCTGTATCTGCAAGGCAATGACATTTAAGTCCTCCTATTTAGGCCATCCTGGCCTATCTTTTCATCTTCAGCTACCATTTCCCTCTCCTCTATTCTGAGTTCTAGCCAATGTGGGAACCTCACCATTGTACTTGGCCATCTTTAGCCTTGAAATAACCTCAAAGTGGGGGAAGAACCATCCCAGAGGGCTGGCCCCTTGTGGAGTTTTGTTCTTGAATTATTCAATTTAATCACTGGAGGGCTCTGTGTGGGTCTTCAACCAGTTCTGGAAGATGGAAGGAGACCTTTAGACATCTGACCTCGCAAAGGACAGTCATAGATCCAAAACATTCATATGGTCATCTCATCCTGCAGATGTGATGACAAACAACAAATATGGAGGGTCATCCTAACCCTCTTTCACATCTGAATTCCCTTCATCATCAAAACCATCATCATCATCATCATTATTCAGCACTCCCTATATACTGGGCTCTGTGTTAAGTACTTCATCTGCATTGCCTTATTAAACTTCACAAACCAAATACCTTATGGTGCTTTTATTTTTTCTGTCTTTTGTTGTTGTTGTTAAAACAGGGCTCATGTATCCCAGGCTGCCCTCAAACTTGCCCTACAGCCAAGTATGACTTTTAACTTTAAAAAAAGTGTGTGTGTGTGTGTGTGTGTGTGTGTGTGTGTGTACAGGGCTATATGCATGTGACTGCAGGTGCCCTCAGAGGCCAGAGGAGACAGATCCCCTGGAGCTGGAGTTATAGGCAGTTGTGAGCCACTTGATATGGATGCTGGGAATCAAACCAGGGTCCTCTGGAAGAGCAGTGCACACTCTTAACTGCTAGACCATCTCTCCAGCACAACATTGAATCTTTTTTAAAAATATTATTTTTCACCGGGTGTGGTGGCACATACCTTTAATCCCAGCACTTTGGAGGCAGAGGCAGGCGGATCTCTGGATCTCTGAGTTCAAGGCCAGCCTGGTCTACACAGTGAGTTCTAGGCCAGCTGGGGCTACAGGGAGACCCTGTCTCAAAAACACCAATATATAGATATATATAGATATATATTATTTTTATGTGTACCAATGTATTGCCTACAGGTGGTAGGTGCACCAATGTCATGCAACACCCACAGAGGTCAGAAGAGGGCATCGGACCCTCTAGAACTAGAGTTAAGGATGGTTGTTAGTTGCCATGTGGGTGCTGGGAATTGAACCCAGAACTTCTGCAAGAGCAGTCAATGCTCTTAACTGCTGAGTCATCTTTCCAGTCCCAACTTTGATGCTTTTAAGGGATGTTAATGTATTATATTACTTTTTCTTTTATTATTTTAATTTTTTATTTGTATGAGTGTTTTGTCTGCATGTATGTAATTGTACTATGTGTGTAGCATGCCCTTGGAGGCTAAAAGAAGGCATCAGACCCTCTGGAACTGGAATTCTAGATGGTTGTTAACCACCATACATGGGTGCTGGAAACCGAACACAGTCCTCGGGAAGAACAAGAAGTGCTCTTGACCCCTGAGCCATTTCTGCAGCCCCATTTATTATAATCTTATTTGTATGGATAATGTACATACACACAGGAATGTGGAAGTCAGAGGACATCTGACAGGAATTGGTTCTCTCCTACCATGTGGGTCCCAGGGATCAAACTCAGGTCATCAAGCTTGGCAGCAAGAACCCTTCCACAAGTCATCTTTCAGACCCAGATCTTGAACTTCTGATCCTTCTGCCTCCACCTCCCAAATGCAGGATTACAGGCCTGTGCCATCACACTCAGTTTCTGTGGTGCTGGGTATCAAACCCAGGGCTTTATGCATGCTAGGTAGACAGTTTATCAACTGAGCTAAATTACCACTACTACTATTAGTAGTAGTAGTAGTATTTTACATTATAGGTAAGCTAATTGGGTTTCAGGAAAGTTGTCAGGAGTTTAAGATTACCAGTTCTAGCTGCAGGCCTTCTAGCACTGTCCTTTTCTAATGTCACTCTCTCTCCCCAGCTCCCCTAACAACACAGTCCTGTAGCTGGCTTGCCTAAAACCTCTACCATCTTGTTCCCCACCCTTCCCCCCTTCAAATGGCTGCTCTATGGAGCTGCTCAAAGGAGGAGGGTCAGGCAGAAAGGGGACAGGGAGAAAGTGTCTCACTGGCCCTAATCTCTGGACAATTGGAGAACTAGAGAACTGACCTACAGGTCAGGACAAAGGGCAGGGCCAGGGTAGGCAGAGCCCATCTGCCCCTCCTTCCCTCCAGTCTGGTTCTCACTGATGCAGCACCTCCACCATCGATCCACCTTCCTAGCAAGCTCCCCCACGGTGCCCCGGGCCTTACTTGGCTTGAGGCCCTCACTCAGCTTCCCGAACTAGGGGGTAAGAGAGCCCATACTAGAGCGCTGGGAAGCAGGGATAACTTGGGGGAAGGAGGGACTCAGGATAAGCTTACCACCCCTTATCGACATGCCATAGGGGAAGAAAATCCTTCTGGGGAGATGCTGGGCGGGGGGTGTCTTTTGATGGGGTGGAGGAGATTCAGGGCTAGGACCACCCAGTTTGGAGCTGGGAGGGCCCCAGCAGATTAGAGACTTGAGTAAAGCAGCCTTGAAGGGCTGTAATTACCCCAGAGAGGCAAAGAAGACACCAACCCTAGTGTGCAAGAGGAAAGGCGCCTTTCCAGCCACAACCAGAAAAGAGAAAGCATAGCCCTTTTGGGGGGGGGGGTCTCCTTGCGACTTCAGGCATCGTAATGTCCCCAGGGAAGATCTGATCCAGGTCAGGGAGGGAATGTCGACTTGAAGCGGCCTGCTCAGCCCCACGCGGGAGCCTCCAGGATCCAGAGTGGGAATGGGGGCTCCCATCTCTGCATCCCAGCCGCGGGTGAGTCACCCGAGAGCTCCCTACATAGACTGCTCGCGCGCGGCGCGTACCAACGCACAGCCGCAGGGGGAGGCCGCGCGGCCGGCATCTCCGCGGAGCCTCGACGTCCCCTCTGCCGCGGCCGCAGAAGGGGAGTCGCGAGGTTCTGTGCACCGCACCGCAGGGCGGAGTCGGGGGCTCGAGCCCGGCACGCGGAGGCTGGGTGTCCCGGCGCGGCGGGGCGGTCCTCCCCCACGCACTTGGTACGGGCGAAGAGGCCAGGCCCAGCCCAGGCGGTACAATAGGGTTGGGCCGCGACCGGGACGGGGCCGGCGCCGAGCAAGGGAGTAGGATCGAGGCCGGGGAGGACAGGCATCGGGCGGCCGTCACCTCGGAGCTTCGTCAGACACCAGCCTCGATTCCCCTCCGCTATCGCTGCCGCCTCTGCGTCGTTGCCCGCCGGGCGGGCCGGGCGGGATGCGCCGGGGGATCCGGGTCCTGGCCTCGGGCCGCCGCCGACGTCGCCGCTGAGACTCCCCCCACCCGCTACCCCCAAAACCTCCAGTGACGCCGCAGCCATGGAGAGCTGCCCGCGTGCGGAGCCCGGGCCGGGCGCATCCCCAGGTATGTCGGGAGCGGTGCTAGGGGCGAGGCGGGAGGGTGGCCGAGCGGCTGCTGGGCGGCCGGGGAGGAGGCCGGCTGCTGGGCGGGGACCCCCTCCCCCGCCGCGCCCTCTGACCACTTAGAAGTTTAAAAATAAAGGCTGCGCCGGCGGCCGGAGCTCGGGGCCACGGGCGCATCTTCTGACAGCTGCCCCCTCCCCCACCTCGGCGCCGCGACGCCTAGGGCTGCAGGATCCGCGGGGACCCGGCTCCGGAGTGTTGGGGTGACCCTTCTGCTGCAGCCCAAGGCCCTCCCCGGTTCCCCGCCCCCACTCCTCTTCCCGATCCACCCCAGCCCCTGAAGATCCGCTTTTACTGAGCTGGGGCTGCTGTCCCTTTCTCCATCCCCGCTTGGCACGTGCGACCCTAGTCTGAATGTGTGCGTGCTGGGGGCCCAGATTCTCGGGTCTGGAGCCCTGCATACCGAAGCCATGCCCTAGTACCCCCACGCCCAGGCCCTAGCCCAGACTTCTCCCCCACCCCATCCGTCCAGCTGCCGCGCAAAGGGCCTGTTGCTGTCGCGGGCCGGCCGGGAGGGGAGGAGAGGAGAGGGAGACGAGGGGGAGGTCTCTAGCTGTGGCTGCCAAGTAACCCGCCGGATAAAGGCGAGGGGGAGGGGGAGGCGGCATTGTTTGGGGCGAGGGCGGGAGCTGGGGAGTGGGCCGCCTTCCCTGCAGCCTGGCCTACTCTAGAGCCCACCCTGTCGGATTTGGGAAGGAGGGACTGACAGAAGTAGAGCTGCTTGTCCTGCCCGCACTCCTCCGCCTCTCTGGGCTGGAGTCTGACTGTAGAATGTGGTGAAGGCTCCAGGCCCGTATTCGCAACCTGCCACATCATTCCCCAGACTGAGGTTTTGATACTGCCTCCCATACTCTGTCTCTCATTCTTCTCCTCCGGCCCCGGACCACCAAAGCTCTCCTCCCCACCCTTCACCCCACCAACCACCAGTGCCCTGGACTTCTGCAAATCCCATTCGATCTGGGAGCAGCTGATGAGGGGGTGGGGACAGGATTCTGGTTGGGCCTGGTGTTGGAGGGAGGACTCTTCTTCCTGGAAGGGGAGGGAAGAGCATGATTACCAAGGACCCACGTCCTGTTCTCACTGACTCAGGGGGGAGGTGGCCCCGTCCGCACACCCCCACGAGGTCCCCAGCCTAATCCTGTCACCTCCTTGCACCCCTGGGGTGTGGGCCCAGGATGAAACAGTGACTGTGGGTGCTGAAAGCACCCAGGAGGTGGGGCCACTTGGCTGTGAGTGGATGGGCTCCTCCCCATGTCAGGGTGGGTGCTTGGAGAGTACTGGGAACCCAGAGGACACGGAGAGAAATGGAGGGTTTCTGGCTGTTTGAAGGCTGTGCTGCAAACAAGGGTGGTTGAGTCTGTCTTGGCTCTGCTGAACTTGAGAGGGGACACCCAGGAAGCCTGGGCCTGGCCCATCCATCTGCTTACTGGCTCTCTGCACCTGAGAGTCTCAGGCACTGGGGTGTGCACAGGAGCCAGAATGAGATCGGTGACATAGTCTGAGTAGTAGTAGCTGGTTTATAATTAGGGCGCTTGGGTAGGTGGCCCAGTCTGGGGACAGGGAGGGATGCTTGGCTATACTGAGGGCCTAGGAGGGGGTGAGAGCCACATGCAGGGCCGAGTCTAATAGAGTTACAGGAGCTGCTGGGTCAGGATCATGGTTGCTCCTACACATAGAGAATTTGAAGGTGACTGCAGTAATGGCTTCCTGGTTGTAAATGACATGCCCAAAGCACAGCCTGGGAGAGTTTGAAACAATGGTCTAGGTCTCTGAGTGTGGGTGACATGACCTTACTCCCTTTGGGTGCCCTTTGTGCAGCACTACACTGAGTAGTAATCAACAGCAGACAGCATGGGGTAGGGGGTAAGGGTGGTACTCACTTTTTAGAGTCAAGAGACTTGGATGGAAATCCCAGGCAGTTTTTTCCTGGCTACTTCACTAGAGCAAGTAATCACCTCCTGGAGCCACAGATTCTGCCCCAGTAAAACAGGGTTCATGGTATAAGACTTGTGGGATTGATGTCAGGGTTAGAGACGATGAACCTAAAGGAACCTGGCACGCAGGTACCAGGCACCCTCAATAAAGTGTGATTACCATTTTTGTGGTTAGGCTCATTAGAACTGGTGCCAGCAAGGAGGTATGAACTATCGGGGGGGAGCAGGGCCGGGAATTGGGAAGCAGTTTAGAGTATAATCTCGGGAATCAGTTTAGAACCTACCACTGGGTGACCTAGGGTTAGTTGCTTAACCTAAGTCTCAAGTTTGCCCATCTATAAAATGAGAATAATGCTAGAAATTACCTCACAGAAACAATAGGATCTTTAAATGAGATGATTGCATGCACTCATAGCCCCTGGCACAGAGTTAGTGTTCAGTAATTGCCAGTGTACATTTGTATTTTTTGATATCATTTCTAATTGCTTTAAAAGACTGAGAATCAGAGATGTAACCCCTTAGAACTTTGGGCAGTAAATAAGACAGAAAGCCTGGGAAGGGACTTCCAGACAGGTGTTAGGCAGCAGGGGTCAGGGGGTCTATCTGAAGGTGGGCTACTGTACCTGATACAGGGCAGGGGTAGGAGGAGAGAAAGCAAAAGGTGAGTGTGACAGTGGTCTCACACAGTCATGACAGCAGGGTGTTAGCTATGATGATGGTGGTGAAGGAAGCCCGTGTATTCAGTGCAGGAGTGTTTGCCTGCCAGTGTAGGGATGCAGGGCGGTGCATGGGCTCTGGTGGTGGAAGGCCCCACAGAGGAGGAGGAAGCACTGGAGTGGACCTGAAGGGATGAGAAGTTGGTGAGACTGGCCCAGTGGCTGGCCAGTGAGACACCCCCCCCAACACACACACACACAGTGGACCCAGCAATGAGGCCTTTAATGAGCTACTAATGTTCAGTCATGCATATGCAAATGAGGAGGAAGGGCAGTAGGCCAGCTTAGCCCTCCCCCACCCACACCCCCAGGATGGGCACCTGCTGGTGGTGGGGCAGAGGTGAAGAAAGGAGCGAGAAGCTGAAGGCAGGGCCCCAGACTGGAGTGGTGGCACTGGAGAGCTGTTAAGGCTCAGGTCTGACTGAACTTGAAATCATGTCCTTGGGTCCTGGCTGGGCCTCTGGGCCAGGGAGAGAGTCAAAGAGCAAAGCCTAGATAATGCAGCTTTGTTGGTTGGTAGTAGCTTTGCCTGGCACCCTGGGGCACAGCCTCCAGTGCTTCCTCCATCACCTCTCAGCTGTAGCCCCGCCTGAAAGGAATGGGGGATCCTGGGGTAGGGAACACAGTATTGCTGCTTCTCCCCACTTGTCAGATGTGGGTCTGGGGAAGGAAGTGATTCCTTGGCTACCCAAACTGTCTCCCAGTTGTTGTTATCTCCCCCTCTTATTAAGAACCTTCACTGTGCCAGGCTGTTAGTCATGTGTACTGTCTCATTTGTTCCTCATGACAGTCCCCAGAGTAGAGACTTGTGTGCTTCCATTTTATAGATGAGGCCCTGAGAGATGAGTTTACTTGCCTAAAGCCACAGCCAGGGACTGGCAGAGGCAGGATTTGAACTCTACCAAATCTCTGTACCAAGCCAGCCAGTTACAGAGTCTGACCCACTTCTATTCCATAATTCATTTCTGTGGGCATCTTGATCCTGGGGAACTCCTAATCATTTCTCTTGTGGGCACTAGTAGAGGCAGCTAGGCCTTGGGTTCCCTGCGAATCCTACGAAGTTGGAGACAAAACAGACTGACCTCAGGTGGTCAGTTAGTCTACCTAGTAGGCCATCCCCCAAGCCTTGGCCTAGAGCTGGGCCTCTACCCTCAGTGTTTGGACTTCAGGCTGACCTGCCCTGCTGGGGCTGAGGGAGGGACATGGTAGAGCCTGAGCTTTGAGATGGGGTCATTTCCTGCCGCCTAAAATAACAGGAAGTGGGTGCTCCTGATTGGAGGCTGGGAACAATGGCCACCAGCCTGGTCAGGGAGCTCCTTCAGATCTTCTGACACACTAAGGCTTTAGACTTTACCATCTCCAGAAGCCTGAACCTCCTACCTTCCTTTACTGGGAGATCTTTCCCAGTGCACTGCTTAGAACTGCTTAACCCCTCCAGGTCAGAAGTAATACTGCCCTTAAGAAACCCCTGTCCTGGCCCAGCAATCAGGCATCCCTCAGGCTTTGTCCTTACCCATCCCCCATTCTCCCAGCACAGATCTCTCCAATAGAGGAAACCCAGGAGGCTGTCCCCCATCTGATAGCAGAATGAAGGTAGATGGAGACAGTTACCCTAAATCTGCACAAACCCCACTTTACCCTTTACCAGCTCTGTGGCTTAATTGTCAATCTCTCAGAATCAGTTTCCTGATTTGAAAATGGGGTAATAATCTATCCGCCTCATAGGATTGTGGCAAAGATTCAGTGAATAATGACTTTATAATGCCTACCTGGGCCTGACACAGGCCTTAACTGTGGCTGTTATTAATCGGACTTCCCCTGGCCCTAGGTAAAGGAATGCCCTGAATGGGGAGAGCAAACAGGGATGAGGCGGAAAACTACATGGAGGGTATTGGATCGCATCACTCTGTGCTTATGCTTCAGAGGTGGTGCCCAGCTCAGTGTGTGTGTGGGGGTCTGTCTGTCTGTCTGTCCCAGGATATGTGCCGTAGACTTCTGAATCCCAATAAATTCTATTTCCAGTGTGTAAGAGTGAGACACAAAACAATGTCTTGCCTATCATCATTGTGTGAGCCCTTGTCTATGTTGAATTTTTTTTTTTTTTTGAGACAAGGTCTCCCTGTAGCCCCAGCTGGCCTGGGCTAGAACTCACAGAGATCCTCCTGCCTCTCTGCTCCCTGAGTACTAGGATTAAAGATGCCACCACATCCAACTCTGTTGACTTCTTGTTCTCACTCTCGCTCTGGCTCTCTGATTTGTGGACCTGTTAATCTCCTGTGTCTTTGCTCTCT